TTCATTTGATCCCGGTCTGTAATAATATTCTTTGTAAATAGATATTGGGGTAACTAGTAAAAAGGGGAGGGTTCATATATGATTTTTGTAGGAAAACCGGGTAGAAATCATGCTTCTAGGATTATGTGTGTTGATTCGCAGTAGAAATCATGCTTTAGGTTTACACTATGTTTACATTCTGCAATTGATATCATGCCACTAGGTTTGCTATGCCTATTTATATTAGAAACCATGCCATAAACTTGTGCATTAGATATCCTGCCTTAGGATAATCATGTTTACTGCTTTGCATATTAGGAAATATGTTATAGTCATCATTTTATTTCTAATTCTGCCTAAAGTCATAATAACCTAGAAACTCTATAATTAAGCTACTGCTATAATCTTGCTTAATAAAATGACCATTTCTCTCTGTGCGTTAGAAATCCTGATTTAGCACTCTGTTTGTAGTGGCTCTAAATCATGTCTACGTTGCTTAAATAAATAACTGTCTATAAAAAGGGTTTAAAAATAGTCCAACACATAGACATCATGTTCTAGTGTAAATATGCATGAAATCAGTTCTCTATCAGTAATCGCCTAGATCAGTATGCCTATAGGATTGAATGACTTCAAGTTGTCTTAACCAATTCCCAGAATTATGATGGCATACAGACCTGCGCCTAGGCAAGCCTTAGGTAATTAATGGTTTAAAACTATGAAATTGGGCTCTGTTTATGTGTGAAATCGTCCAGTTTTAACAGGCTTCAAAATCAGTAGGCAAATTGATTAGGATTCTACCACTTCGCTTTAAGACAAATGCTGCATATTCTGTGTTTGTGATGTTCATCTAGATATCATGTTCTAGGGCCTTCTGAATCTCTTAAAAATCAGTTGTTTGAGACGTGCTACGTATTTGTTTACGCGTGGAGGTAAACATGAGCCCCTAATTGCTTCTCTATTTGATAGTCCTATATGTTCTTTGTTGTCGGTTAGATTTTACCTTTTAAATACCTAGGAGTGTCTAGAACTGCCTAAGTATAGGGGTCCTAAACACCTCCGGGACCACAAGGAATGGACGGGTAAAACATGCCTAGAGTTCGTTAAGTAAACTCGCTTATATAACCACTAAGGGGAGGGTAATGGGTAGTAAAAGGATATGATGACCTGTGCGCTAATGCCACGCGTAACCCTCTAGTTGAGGAAGGCTTACCGGGTATTGTACAGATGTGATCCTATAGGCTAACCAACTTAGGACTTCCCTTCCTTTTCCTTAATTTATGTATGCTCGGACTGTTCAAACTTCCTTAATTTATGTATGCTAGGACTATTCAGACTTCTTTAATTTAAGTATGTATGCTTAGACGGTCTAAAATTTACATATGTGTGCTTGGACCGTCTAATTTTTCTTGATTATATATGTGTGCTTAGACTGTATAAACTTCCCTTATTTGCAAATATGTGCTCAGACTGTTTATCTATTAAGTGACTAATTCACATAACTAAGTTCAGCCAGGACCCACCGTTGTGGACCGCGAAGGGTGCCTAACACCTTCACCTCAAGGTTATTTCGAGCCCTTACCCTAATCTCTGGTAATGCAAACTAGTTACATGAGTTAATTGCTCTAGGTGCCCTAACGTACCTTAATCCGTTAGGTGGAGACTCTTCAAATACCCAATTCCCGAAAGGAAATGAGTCATTCCTATTGAATGTCGAAACCCAGACTCCCGAAAGGAAAAAGGGGGCGCGACAATAAGTGAATGAGCATTAACTAGGAAAAATAGAATAAATACAACATCTGTCCGGAATAAAATTTGGACAGAAATAGAAATACAACTGCTCTGAAGGAGACTCTGCTGGCTGCAGATCGTGAAACAAGATGCAGCTCAACTAAGTCCTTGTATCAACCACGTCATTGCGCCACAAGGCCACTAAATGTATATGCATGTACAATAAAATATACATCAAGTGTAGTATGAGTACGAAAAAAACGCGTACCCAGTAAGTATCCAGTCTAATCTCGAAGAAGTAGTGATGAGAGGTCGACTCCGTCACTTACTAGTGGTCCTACAGTAATGTATTAATAGTATAATTAGTCGTGGGTTTTGTTAAAAACGGTTGTGAACTCAAGAAAATCATGAAGCAAGTAAACAATCCTTTTGTTAATGGGTGATTTCCAAATTCACTTTCATCATTTATCAATTTATCTCGGGCCGGGGAGGCAATATCACTATTTATAAAGTTCAAGGCAAGCAATACAAGCATGCATAAATCATGCCGAGGTCGTACGGCCCGATCCAACATAATATTTAAACTGTGCACTGCTAGATGGTCGAATGGCGCGAACCATAGATGCATCTATTAAATCTACCGAGGCGTTCGGCCTGTTCCACAAAAGATAAACACATTCAAACAGTCAATCAAGAATTCATCAAGGGGCAATTATCCAAGGAAAAGGTAATTTCTCTTTTAAAAGTCAAGAAAATGATGTTTAGCCTTTTAGAAAATTTATTTACCAAGTTCGATATGATTTAAGCATTTTAAATTGACAACAATGTTGCAAATATTTCAAGTAGAGCCTGCTTTTGGGTCCTAGACTACCCGGACTTGAGCATAATAGTAGCTACGCACGGACTCACGTCACCTCGTGCGTACGTAGCCCCCAAAAATAGGAGCACATATTGATTTATTTCACATATGGGGTAAATTCCCTCTTACAAGGTTAGAAATGAGACTTACCTCACTCCGAAGTTCCATAACCGGCTTCCGAGCCCTTCAAACAACTCGAATTGATGCTCAATGCTCCAAAACTAATAATTATGCAAACCCATTAAACATACTCAAATACTCATTATAATACAATTTATAACAATTTCTAATCCCGATCGAAAAGTCGATAAAAATCACCCTCGGGCCCACGTGCCCGGATTCCAAAATTTTTCGAAGATAAGCTTTACCCATAATGCCACGAACTCAAATGTATAACTTATTCTAAGTTCCATGTCCAAAATCATGGTCAAAATTTTAAAATACAAATTCTAGGTTTTTCCACCAAAAACCCAAATTCCCACTAATTTTCCATGATTAAATCCCAATCAAATCATGTATTTAACTCAAATTGGGAAGAAAGCACTTACTCTTTACTAGTTGATGAAGATGGCACTCCACATTGCTCCAAAATCGGCTCCCATGGACGAAATAAAATAAAATTGAGCCAAACCCTTCGTTTTAAAGAAGACAAGTGCCCAACCCTGACCTTCGCACCTGCGGTCCAGTAGCCAGTTCTACGGCTTCGCACCTGCGGAAATCCATCGCAGGTGCGGCTTTAACTCAACGCAACAGCTTCCGCTTCTACGATCTCCCTTCCACATCTGCGCCTTCGCAGGTGCGGATCTTCCCTCGCACCTGCACTCCTGCCCTCTTCTGCGACTCTTAGGCCGCTTCTGCGGCCAAAACCTCGCAGGTGCGGTTACACCAGATGTCAACTTCCTCAATCCTTCTTCAAATTCTAAATTCGATCCGTTAACCACCCGGAATCCATCTGAGACCCTCGGGACCTCATCCAATCACACCAGCCTATCCCAAAACATAATGCGGACCTGCTCGAGGCCTCAAATCACATCAAACAACGTCGAAATCACGAATCACACCCAATTCGAGCTTTATGAACTTTAGAACTTCAAACTTCTTCGTTCGATGCCGAAACCTATCAAATCACGTCTGATTGACCTCAAACTTTGCACACATGTCGTATTTGACATTATGGAACTACTCCAACTTCTGGAATCGGAATCCGACCCCGATATCAAAAGGTCCACTTCCGGTGAAACTTCTCAAAACCTTTAAATTTCTAACTTTAGCCAAATGACTCCAAAATTACGAACCTCCGAATCCACTTTCGGACGCGCCCCCAATACCAGAATCACCATACGGAGCTATTCTCAAGCTTAGAATCCCAAACGAACATCGGAAATATTGAAATGCATTTCAACCCAAATTTATGAAATCCCTACCAAAATGCTAACTTCCATAATACGCGACGAAACGCTCCCAGGTCATCCAAAACCCGATCCGGACAGACGCCCAAGTCCAAATCATCATACGAACTTGTTGGAACCTTCAAATCCTGATTCCAAGGTCGTTTACTCAAAGTCAACCCTTTATCAAATTCTTCCAACTTTAAGCTTCCGAAATGAGAATTCTCTTTCCGAATCAACTCCGAACTCCCTGAATCTCAATTTCAACTACGCGTACATGTCATAATACCTGAAGTGAAGTTGCTCATGGCCTCAAATTGCTAAACGACGCACTAGAGCTCAAAACGACCAGTCGGGTCGTTACAACACGTCCCTTAAAACTATTACTCCCTCCGTCCTATTTTAGTTGTCATATTTCCCTGTTTAAGAAATCATAAATAAGTATTTATAACAAATTTGCCCTTATTTCTCTTTTCAATAAATGTCAATCTATATATTGTTTACTCTCAAGAAAAATTAATATTAAGGGTAGAATGATTTTCTTTTGCTTATTCTATCTTTATTTAATGAATAGACAAATATTTCGCGACAACTAGATTCAGTAAACTAATATGGGACATCGGAAATAAGAAGGTTTTTTTTTTACTATTATACCTTTATCTATATCTTTAGTCATTCAATATATAAATCTTTCTTGTATGCTATATAATAAATGTTATTTACTTTCAAGAATAATTAATACTAAGGATAAAATGAAAAAAAATAATTTATTATATTTTGATTTCTAAAATTACAAACATTTTAGACCAGTTATTTTTAATAACCGTGATCTACGGAAGGGAGTATGATTGACAACGCATATTCAATTGTGAAGATATCCAGAACAAGCAAACATTTAGGAAAGGTATATATATTAGCTGTGCATGATACACACTCTAATATTTTAAAGGATTTAATTACAAATTTACTAATTAAAAGTCAACTTACACTAACAATCTGATTGAGGCACATGACCAATAATAAGGCCCACAGTGTCACATAGTTCACTAACAAAAGTATCTTCCTCATTTTCAAGCTGATCAATTCCATGGCCTCGAGCTTTTCTCCCATCGGCTCCATTGCTAAAAGGTAAGTTTATTTTGTTATCTTTTCCTCAATGTTGGGCTCCTCAAATATGAATGTCCTATTATAATTGTTCGGCTGTATGCCTTGTAGGATATTAGGAAGTTCATCGTAAGATCAGAACTCTGTATTTACAGTCAGTTAAAGGAAATGAGTGGATCTAGTTAATTATATGTATATATTTAAAAAAATAATTAAATAAGTATACACAATTCGAGATCAAAGCAAAATGAGTTCTGGTGGAGTGGTAAATACCGATTCATCCTTAATCAGAAATGGGACTTCCTGGTGCGAATCCAAATTTAGTCGGCCCCAATGCTAGTATTGAACAAACGAGTTCAACTGAACTCATATAACCCGTCCTAGATTCGCCACTAGCTAGAGTTCATCCTTATTGTTTGCTCTAGGGATCAACTTAAGCACGATTCTATGAAATCAAAATTTTCAATTACTTGTATATTGTATCAGGCTAGAGGGCAAAATTGCAATCATAACAGGCGGCGCTAGTGGAATTGATGAAGCCACAGCAAGACTTTTCATCAAACACGGAGCAAAAGTAGTAATTGCAGACGTCCAAGACGATCTTGGCCAATCCATCATTGAAAAAGTAGGTGAAAAGGGAGCTGTTTCCTACATACACTGCGATGTAAAAGTAGAAAAAGACGTCGAAAATGCAGTGGACATAGCAGTTTCCAAGTACGGGAAACTTGACATTATGTTCAGCAACGCTGGAATTCCAGGAAAATTATCTGGTTCCACCATCTTAGAATCTGACTACGAAAATTTCAAAGCTGTATTTGATGTGAATGTCTTTGGGGCACTAATGTGTGCAAAACATGCGGCGCGTGTGATGATTCCAGCTAAGAAAGGTAGCATTCTTTTCACTTCCAGTGTTGCTTCAGTGACTTACGGCGATGTCTCTCACACGTATTCTGCGTCAAAGCACGCAGTAGTTGGGATTGCCAAGAATTTGGGTGTAGAATTAGGACAATTTGGAATTAGAGTATATTGTGTTTCTCCATTTGGTGTGGCAACTCCTACGTTGCTGAATTGTTTGGGTATTAAGGAGAAGGAAAAGGCCGAGGAATTTGTGTCTGAAATTGCAAACCTCAAAGGAACGATGTTGGAGGCTGAGGATGTTGCAGAAGCAGCATTGTATCTTGCTAGTGATGAATCTAAGTACATAAGTGGGATGAATCTTGTGATTGATGGTGGATATAGTACCACTAATATTGCTCTCAAAGAAGGCATTATAAGGAGGATGGCGTCTTGGTCAATGAATTAATTCTCTATTTAGACCAAAAGATTGGGGCGTTTTTCTTTACATGTTGTTTGGATGGCGGTGATACATATTGTATTGTTTTTTTTTTAAAAGACAGCGCTGTTGGGTTTTTGTATTTAATATATATTAAATACATAAAAGAGGATGAATGGAAAATGGAGGGAAATAAAATTTTTGAGTGAAATTTTAAGTTTCTCCCCTTGGTAAATGGACATTGTCCCATATTGGAAAAGGAAGAGGTTTTTTATGGGTATATAAGCAATTGCTCTTCTTCTAGCTCTTAAAGAGTTGAGAAGAAGGCAAGCTTCGCGCCATCATCGTCGCTCCGGCTCCGGCAGAATATTAATATTAAATATCTTTATTTTCCCTCTTTATTGTTGAGTTAATGGCCATTTATGTTGTGGCCGTTTTGCATAAACAGCCATTCTGAAGAGTTGCACCTCTTCAGATTTCAGCCCAACTTTGGCTATAAATACAACACTATTCTGCTCAGAATTTCACTATGTTTTTCTGAGTTTCTCTTCCTTCTTCTGCATACTTTTAGCATCAAACAAAGCAACAGTAAGTGTGATTTGCTACCGAACTTTGTGTTCGCTGAAACACTGGGGTTTGAAGTACACTACACCAGTGTGTAATTCGTTCTATCCTGGGAGGAAATAATCCATAACCTTGGGTACGAGGAGGGGATTAAATTCCTTAAGGAAACACTATGAATTCAGTGGGCTCGAATTGGTTTTCTAATATTTTGTTGTACATTGTTGTTGTTCATTTATATTTCCAGAATTATATTACAAATACAGTGTACTAACAAGCTTAAGGAATTTAATTTATTCTGTATTTGTACTCACTGTTTCTAGAGAGTAAAACCTGTGTGGTTTTTTACTCTATTAAAATCTACATGATTTTAACATTTGTGTCATTCTTTTACAGAAATGACTAATGATAATGTGAACCAAGCTATTCCAACGGTGACTGCCAATGCCTCAACGAGCCGAACAACACCGGCAGCATTGGCACCGGCGGAGAAACCTGGAAAAATTTTCGGGATTAATTTCAAGCGCTGGCAGCAAAAGATGTTCTTCTATTTGACTACTCTAAGTCTCCAGAAGTTCATCAAGGAAGATGTTCCTGTGCTGCCCGATGAAACTCCAGAAACTGAACGCTTTCTCATGATTGAGGCGTGGAAGCATTCAGATTTTTTGTGCAAGAATTATATTCTAAGCGGGCTGGAGGATGCTTTGTATAACGTCTACAGTGGCGTGGAAACGTCAAAAGCATTGTGGACTGCGCTTGAAAAGAAATACAAAACCGAAAATGCCGGGTTGAAAAACTTTGTTGCTGCAAAGTTTTTGGACTACAAAATGGTAGATAGCAAGTCTGTTATTACCTAAGTTCAGGAATTGGAAGTGATTATTCACGATCTCCTTGTTGAAGGTATAAATCAAATTAATATTGATGTTGAAAGTAGTAATCTTAGTATTTTTACTAACAGAAATTTCATTGAAGGTCTTGTCATCAATGAAGCATTCCAAGTAGCAGCGATCATTGAGAAGTTGCCTCCTTTCTGGAAGGACTTCAAAAACTACTTGAAACACAAACGCAAGGAGATGTCCCTTGAAGATCTCATTATTTGGTTGAGAATCGAAGAGGACAACAAAGCTGCTGAAAAGAGAGGCCGTGGGAACTCAACAATAATGGGAGCAAATATTATTGAAGAGAACAAAAAGAGGAAGAAGGCTTCTGGACCGAAATACAACCCAAGCAAGAAGCGGTTCAGTGGAAACTGCTACAACTGTGAAAAAACTGGACACAAATCTACGGAGTGTCGTGCTCCGAAGAAAGACAAGAAGAAGGGTCAAGCAAACATGGTTGAAAAGCATGATGATGTTGATGACTTATGTGCCATGCTTTCCGAATGCAACTTGGTGGGCAATCCTAAAGAGTGGTGGATTGATTCTGGGGCCACTCGCCATGTTTGTGCTGTTAGAGAAGCTTTTGCTACTTATGCTCCTGTTGGACCCGATGAGACGATTTCTATGAGAAATGCTTCAAAGGCCAAGATTGAAGGATGTGGGAAGATATTTCTTAAAATGACTTCCGGCAAAGTGGTGACTTTGAACAACGTCCTTCATGTTCCCGAGATTAGGAAGAATTTTGTCTCTACTGGACTTCTTGTTAAGAATGGTTTTAAATGTGTTTTTGTTTCCGATAAGGTTGTAATAAGTAAGAATGAAATGTTTGTAGGAAAAGGTTATCTCACTGAGGGCCTTTTCAAGCTGAATGTAATGGTTGTTGAAAATAATAATAAAATTTCAGCTTCGTCTTACTTACTCGAGTCTAATGAATTATGGCATATACGTTTGGGTCATGTCAATTATAAAACCTTAGGGAAAATGATTAATTTGGAGGTATTGCCTAAGTTTGAATGTGACAAATCAAATGTCAAGTTTGTGTGGAATCTAAGTATGTTAAACATCCTTATAAGTCGGTTGAAAGGAATTCAAATCCTTTAGACTTAATTCACACAGATATTTGTGACATGAAGTCAATACCATCTCGCGGTGGAAAGAAGTATTTCATAACTTTTATTGACGATAGTACTCGATATTGCTATGTTTACTTACTTAATAGTAAAGGTGAAGCAATAGACGCATTCAAGCAATACAAAAATGAAGTTGAAACGCAACTTAACAAGAAAATCAAAATGATAAGAAGTGATAGGGGTGGTGAATATGAATCTCCTTTTGAACAAATATGTTTAGAATATGGAATTATTCATCAAACAACGGCCCCTTACACGCCCCAATCCAATGGGATTGCATAAAGAAAGAATCGTTCATTAAAGGAGATGATGAACGCATTATTGATAAGTTCTGGTTTGCCTAAGAACTTGTGGGGGGAAGCCGTTCTTACGACTAGACGAATACTAAATCGAGTACCCATAGCAAAACACAATCCATTCCATATGAAAAATGGAAAGGAAGGAAGCCCAACTTGAATTATTTTAAAGTGTGGGGGTGTTTGGCAAAAGTGCAAGTTCCTAAACCCAAAAGGGTAAAAATAGGACCGAAAACAGTTGATTGTGTTTTCATAGGATATGCGACTAATAGTAAAGCATATCGATTTCTGGTTCATAAATCAGAAAATCCCGACATTCATAATAATACGGTTATAGAATCAGATAATGCTGAGTTCTTTCAAAATATATATCCGTATAAAAAGGAATGTGAGTCGATTGATGAAGGATCTAAATGACCTCGGGAAGAAATAAAAGAAAGTACACTTAACCAGGAGGATCCAAGACGTAGTAAACGTCAAAGAACGTCTACTTCATTTGGACCAGATTTTGTGACTTTCTTATTGGAAAATGAGCCTCAAACATTTAAAGAAGCTATGTCTTCTTCGGAATCATTGTTATGGAAAGAGGCAGTCAATAGTGAAATAGAATCCATATTGAACAACCATACATGGGAATTGGTTGATCTTCCTCCTGGAAATAAACCGTTGGGTTCTAAATGGATCTTTAAGAGGAAAATGAAAGATGATGGCACTATTGACAAATATAAGGCAAGACTTGTGGTCAAAGGGTATAGACAACGAGAAGGTCTTGACTATTTTGATACATACTCTCCAGTTACAAGAATTACGTCCATACGAACGTTAGTAGCGTTAGCTGCAGTTTATGGTCTTGAAATTCATCAAATGGATGTTAAGACGGCCTTCTTAAATGGAGAGTTGGAGGAAGAAATCTACATAGAACGGCCTGAAGGGTTTGTGGTTCCAAGTAAAGAAAAAAAGGTCTGTAGACTTGTTAAGTCCCTTTACGGATTAAAACAAGCGCCCAAACAATGGCATGCAAAATTTGACCAAACAATGTTGTCAAATGGATTTAAGATAAATGAATGTGATTAATGTGTGTACATTAAAAATGTTCCAAATCACATAGTCATTGTTTGCTTATATGTGGATGATATGCTCATAATGAGTAATGACAATGCCAACATAAAAGCTACTAAGCGTATGCTAACTAGCAAGTTTGATATGAAAGACTTGGGAGTTGCTGATTTAATTCTGGGAATTAAGATCCATAAGACTTCTCAAGGTCTGGCGTTGTCACAATCTCATTATATTAAGACAGTACTTGAAAAATTCAAGCACTTGGGCTTTAAAGTTGCAAAGACTCCAATTGACGTGAATCTTGCATTAGCAAAGAACAAAGGCCAAAGCATATCACAATTGGATTATGCTCGTGTGTTCCGTTGCTTAATGTACATCATGAATTGTACACGACCAGATATAGCTGGTGTTATAAGTAAATTGAGTCGATATACGAGCAATCCAGGTCAATCTCATTGGATGGCCATAAAACGAGTTTTGGGGTATTTAGTACATACCCAGGACTTTGCTTTGCACTACAGTAAATATCCTGCGGTCATTGAGGGATACTGTGATGCAAATTGGATCACCGGATCAATTGATTCCAAGTCCACAAGTGGATATGTATTCACTATTGGTGGAGGAGCGGCATCTTGGAAGTCGTCCAAACAAACTTGTATTGCACGCTCTACAATGGAGGCTGAGTTCATAGCCTTGGATAAAGCCGGTGAAGAAGCCGAATGGCTCCGGAATTTCTTGGAAGATATTCCATTTTGGCCCAAACCGTTGGCACCAATATGCATAAATTGTGATAGTCAAGCGGCAATTGGAAGGGTTGGGAGCGTTATGTATAACGGTAAATCTCGTCATATACGACGAAGACATAAAACCGTTAGACAATTACTCTTTAGAGGAATTATCACGATTGACTATGTAAAGTCAAGTGATAATGTGTCGGATCCACTTACAAAAGGCCTAACTAGAGAGGTAGTTGAGAAGTCATCAAGGGGAATGGGACTATGGCCGAGAACAAGTCATAGTGGCGGTAACTCTACCTAAAAGACTGGATGTAACGACCCGATCCGTCGTATCAGGTATTACCGCCCTGTTTTCCTCATTTATTTCTTCTTCATGTTTCATTATCAGCAACGAGTGAGTTAGAGTTGAATTGAATTGGTTTGGATAGGAAATAAGACACTTAGTCTCTTTAAGGAAGGCTTAAATTGGAAAAGTCAACCGGACGTCGACTTATGAGTTCGAAGGTTCGGAT